ATGTCTTATTTTTATACTAATGAGTATCCTTTGGACTACAATTACCACTTTTTATATACTGCACCAAGTATTGTCAAGCAAACAGTAGCTATTTTGTTTTTTTCTTTCATTGAAGAAACATATTCTTTCCTTGGAGAAAAATGTATGAAAACTTTGAAATAGAAAATTAATAATTTGGAAAGTGTGATTGGATGTAAGATGGCAATGTAATGATTGAATTTAACATGGTGTTAAAATAGAAAAAATAATTGTTGATTGTTCTAAAATATGAAAAGATAAATAGTAAAAATTTTGTAAATTATATCACAATTTCAAATCAGTGCATCGATTTGCAAAACCGGTGAAAATTATATCACAATCTTCAGTTTGTTCTTCGGCCACATCATCTTTTACGGCCGTGTACTACTAATTTGCAACAAACTGAAGATTGTGATATAATTTGCAAAAGTGAAATGGTCGTGATTAAATTGCGATTTTGGGAAACTTGAAGTGAGATTATTTTAGTAAAAAGTTGTTGTTGTTGTTGTTGTTGTTTTTTTTTTTTTTTTTATTATTATTTTTTTAAGTTATAATAATTTGATTGTTCTAACCACAGAGTGCAGTAACTCCAGCAGCCTACCCAAGCTTCCTATTCAAAGGAATCGCGACCTACGCGCTGCGAACCGGCCGAGGGGCCCCACACACCGCAACACACTTGCTAAAGCACGCGCTCCGTCTCGACTGTGGCCGTGAAATGGTCCTCAACGTAATGGGACACGACAACAGCGACGGCCGGCTCACTTTCGACAAGGACAAAAACGTAATCTCATTCCAGCCACCGCACGACCTTCTCCTGCCGCGAAAAGTCAAAGCCCTAGAGAAGATCGCCGGAAAATTGGGAGGCATTCTCTTCCTGTCTCGGTTCGCGAGCACCGCCGTCCATCTCCTCGGCGGCTGCACTGCCTCATCCGATGACTCCTCGTCGGGAGTTTGCGATCCGGAGGGCCGAGTTTTCGACACGTCAGCAGGTGGGGCCCACGCGGGGCTTTATGTGTGCGATGCTTCGCTGATCCCGTGTTCGGTCGGGGTAAATCCGTGCCTCACGATCGCGACTGTGGCGGAACACGTCAGCAGAGGTGTGGTTAGGGACAATATTGGAAATATAGGAAATTTTGTGGGTAAGAATTTTGACGAGAGGAGAAGGAAACAAATTGGCTCGGTGGTAGTGACGACTCGAGAGGTGATGAGAGGGAAAGTTGGTGGAATGCCGTGCGCAGCTCATCTGAAGTTGAGATTTGGTGGTGTTGATGATGACTCGGAGAATGCTACTGGGGGATTTCACCCTTTGTTGAGAGGCAGAGTGGGTGGATATGTAGAGTGCAGGGGAGTTGAGATGGAGAAGATGTATGTCATTCATGGTGAGGTTGATTTATGCAAGATCGATGGAAAAACTCCTTATACGCAGTACATGCACTATCGTCTACTCCTTGCGGCTTCATCTGGTTCGAGGTTTGGTTTCAAATTTAATTTTTGGGATTATTAATTTTACAGAAAAGTCAGCTAACTTTTGAAATTATGAATTAAAACCACCCTCGGACGTCTAATTTTTCTGTTCATACCATTATGTGACTTAATGTCGTCAAATAATTTCAGTAGCTCAAAAATTTCATGAAATAGTACGTGTACTTATTATATTTTGAAAGACTAAGGAATGTTAATGGAAAATGTAAGACTAAGGAGAAAATATGTTGAAATTTTCAATCTTAGGACAAGTTGAGGTATGTAAGTGGTATATATTCGATAACATTTATGTAATATGGAAAAACCTCAAGGTTATGTTAATGTAGCCTACTTAATCCCTTTATTTCAGTTTGAGTTAAGTTTTTTCAGGATTTATTCTAAAGATACTAGTCTTTTGGTGCAGATATGTTCTTGAAGGGAGAAAGATAATGAACCCGTATCTGCTTGCTCTGTATGCATGGAGAGAATCCACGACTTTGAACGTGACGTTGAGAAAAATTACCGATAACTCATCGAGCGAAGGCATGACGAGTCTAAAAGGGAAGCTTCACGTTTCCTTGTTCGAGCTCTTGAAAAGCTTGTGTGCTCTTGAGGGTCGAAGCAAAATCAAGTTTGTATGCGCCTTTATGCAATCACTTATCAGAACCTATATCCTACAAACACCTCGAGGAGGTCACACAAATTGCACCCCTATGAATTTGGCTCGGGAATCTTATCCAAACAGTACAATTCATGAGATTCAAACAGGTATGTTTCTTTTTTAAAGCTTAATACATGCTGCAAATATATTGAAGGAATAGATTTATCGTATTAGAAATTGATACTCTTCATTATCCCTCTAATTCGGCATGGCATATTATAATTAACTTCCCTTTTAACCATGGTCATTATGAAATATGCAGAAGATAATATTACAATTCGTTGCGAGCATTGGCAATGCAGCCAAGAGAGCTGGCAACTTAAGCATGAGAAAAGAAAATACCCTGTGTTGTTACTCAACGGTTATGCAACAGAAAGTTATTGCTTGCCTACCGAGCAAAATGATCTCATCAGAACTTTACTAAGAGACGGGCATGACGTGTGGCTGCTGCATGCAAGAATGCACTGGTCGGTTGCTTCAAATCACTTTTCAGTTGAAGATATTGGCAGATTCGACATCCCAGCTGGTAATTTTACGCGTGCATTTTCGGTTTAGTACCTTCAACACGTCACCCTTCATAGCTAACCCAAAAATAATCGTTTTTTTTTTCAGCAATTGATAAGATCATTGATTTCTATGGTGAATCCGTAAAACTACACGTTGTTGCCCATTGTCTTGGCGGTCTAGCCATTCATATCTCGCTCATGGGTGGCCATGTTTCGGCTAAATATATTGCCTCGTTGACTTGTACAAACTCTTCCATGTTTTATAAAGTCACCACTTCCTCACTAGTCAAAATGTGGCTTCCCCTTGTGCCGGTAAGCAATTTTTTTATTTTTTATTTTTTCGTTTATTAAAAAACTCAAACCATAATATTCGAACTTTACAATATTCCATCGATATTTATTTATATTTTTTGTAATTTTCAAATTTCACATTTTAAATAATGCATGCCCGACTACTAATGATGTGTTTGGTATGCATATAAGCTAACTTATAGCTTTTTCATTAGCTTATAAGCTTCGTGTATTCAAATAAGCTTGGTTTGGTAGAACGAGCTTTTATAAAAAGCTCGAGCTTATCTCATAACCTTCCTTAAGTAGCTTTTCAAATAAGTCCACTCGCTGAAATTTCTATTTCAACTAGCTTATCAGCTAATTTTACCAAACACTTTCATCATATATAAGTTAGCTTTTCAGCCATAAGTCATAAGTTATCAGCTATAAGCTCTAAATTCACTTATCAGCTAGATTTACCAAACATAGCCTAAATACTAGCTCGAAATTCACTTATCAGCTAGGTTTACCAAACATAGCCTAAATACTATTATCAACATGCAGATGTCGATGGCCGTGCTCGGAACAAACAAAATACTCTCGATGCTCCAAGAATCTTCCGCAAGCTATAGGCACCGTCTCCTAAAATCAATCGCGCGGCTAATCCCGCGCTGCCAAAGATGCCCTTGTGACGAATGCGAAGTTTTCTCCGGAATTTTTGGTAACGCGTATTGGCACGAGAACATAAGCCCGGCAATGCATTACTGGATGAACAAAGAAAACCTGCCGAGGCTCCCAATGGCCGCATTTCCTCACCTAAGGAAAATATGCAGGGCCGGTTTTATAGTAGACAGTGAGGGTAAAAACTCTTATCTAATTTATCCCGAGCGAATGGCAATGCCGACACTATACATATCCGGAGGGCGGACTCTTCTTGTTACTCCGGAAACTTCTTTCCTTGCGAACAAGTATATGAAGATGCATCAGCCTAGTTACAGGCATGAGAGGGTCGTAGTTGATGGGTTCGGGCATTCGGATCTTTTGATTGGCGAGGAATCGGGTGAGATCGTTTTTCCGCATATTACGGAGCATATGGAGTTGGCTGAGGAGGAAATGAGTGTTGGTGGTTTGGGGACTCAAAGAGAGTCAAAGTATGTGAAGGAGGCTTTGGCATGGAGTGTGGATCCATATGAGGATGAGGGGAATTTTAGGAGTTGGATTTTTGGTTTGATCACTGTTTTGTTACTTGTGTTGCTTTTCAGTTTGATTTTTTTTTTTT